GGGGGGGGGGGAAGAGAGGAAGCCAAGGTTGGTAACACATTTTCTCTCCAGGATTCCTAACCCAGGAGCGGAAACTTCGAATTCAGAACCATTTTGATTCCAACGTTCCATTTCGAACGCTTTCCGGGGCGTCCGCGAATAATACACCTGTAGATGGGCTTGAAGAAAAATAAGTTGTGACGCGGGGCGGAGAAGCAGATAAAAGCCCGGGTGGGGGCGTCTATCTGCGTTTCTCCAGAGGGGGAAAAGCAGCGGGACGGGAAGGCGGTAGAAGTGGTTACACTCCTGGTTCTGAGCACAGCGGTGGAGTCCGAGATTTGGGGCGGGGGGAGGAAAAAGACTCCTTGGTGTGTGTGTGCAGCCTGACGTGCTTAGCAGGTCGTAGCGTTCCTTTTAGTGTGTAAAATTCTTTCTTATTAAAAAATACTTCCAAATGTTTAGCTGTTGCATAGATTTCTCTCATTGGTCGCCGGAACGGAGTGGGTGGTGATAGCGGAGTGGGGGAGGAAGAGTCTTGCCAGCTTCAAAGCCCAACCGGGGCGAAGAACGAGCTCCCGCTGACGTTCTTTGCAGATCCCCCTTTGATCTCGCCTTCTTTTATCAGAGTCGCCTCGCTGCAAAGCCTCCTCTAGGTGCTTCCGCCCCCCGCTTTTGCGAAAGGCGAGTTTTTCTTTCAGGTGAAAGAGGAACTGGCCTTTTCCACCGCCTGGGGAAGGCGAACAAAGGGCTGCCATGAGCATGTGGCCGTTGTGCTTCGCGAGCTGGGCGCGGGCGCTGGGACGGTTCTCGACGCCCGCGCTCTGTCCCCCTTACGTGGACCCTCGGAGGAGAGGGCGAGCGCCGGCGGGCGAGTCCCGCGCGCTGCGGACGCAGACCTTGGCGCCGAACCGAGCGGCCCGAGGACTTTTTCTCGGAGGTTAAACTTTCCGCTGCGTGTGCCCACAGCGCAAGGTATCACGTTGCGTGCAGGGAAGAGGAGGCGTGCTTAGGTACCTAGAAAGCAGGAAGCGGCGCCTCCGACGGATGGGGACGGAGCGGATGGTGGGCACAGCGCCCGCCCCCCCACGCGGGATCATTGTTTGGGAAACTTTGGGGCCTGCGATAGGAAGGCGTCCGGTTTTCTAACTCGCTGGTGGTGCGCGCTGGGTTGCACGCCTCGTGCGCCTGTTTATGGGAGGTCTTGCGAGCTCGCTTTGAAGTCGGAACTGTTGCCATGTTTGAATTACGTCAGGGCAGAGCCATGAGGAGGAACCAGTTCTGGGTAACAGGGAGACCGCGCGCGCGCTCGCCCGCCCGCCCCCAGCCAGCTACCCACCCACTCGCACAATAAACTCGTAGCTGCCCCCCGGTCGCTAGGACTGGGGAGGGGGACGATCTTTAATGAAGTGACGCTGACCGAGACGAGGAGACGCGGGGCAGCCCCTTTCGGTCCCTTTTGTTCTGAGGCAAAGCCCCGGGAGTAAACTTTAAAGCGCAGCTCGGTGGCTCCTTTCGTTCGCACGCCAGAATAAGCTAAAAGGCCTTGAGTGTGCCTCTGAGTTCAGCCGGTGTAGTTCGTGGTTCAGCTTGTCCTGCAAACCCATGCCAGTGAGTTAATTCAGTGACTCAGGGTCCCCTTGAGCGTGGGTGAGTGAGTTGCACCGGAGGAACACCCTCACACATTGAAGGAAAACTGGAGGGCAGGGAATGTTGGCTTTGCTTTTCCCATTCTTTTCCCAGTCAAGTCCAAAGTAAGCTGTGCTGGTGATCCCGTTCCTTTCCAGGGATTATGGGATGCTGGCATCTCAGGAAAACTAGTTGTGTGTGTGTGTGTGTGTACATGTACTGATATCAGAAAATCTGTGGCAGTGGATATGACCCATCTCTCTCCCCACCTGCCCCCCAACATCATTCATACAGTCTAGAAGATTTTGCATCTCTTTCAAGCCACTCAAGCAGTAAGGTGCCGTTATCTGGCATTAAAACATTAAATTGGTTGAAAGGAAAATAGGAAACCTCAGCATTGCATGTGCTGGGAAGAGAGGATTGTGAGAGGGTTTGCAGTGCCCTGCAGGAACATCTTCTTACTTCTGCAGTTCCCTCCCTCCCTACCCCATCACTAGGTCTTTATTAACCAAATCATGCCTGAAACAACCATAGAGTTCTACTTTAAGATCACTGTGGCTGCAATTCAGGGTGTCCATCCTGAAACTTTGTGGCAGGGATTGATGGGGGGGGAGGGACGGGGGGAGGAGTATCATTCCTGTGTTCCAGCTCAGCAGGCCTTAGTATTCCTGAGTTTTGCCTCCTTTTAAAAAAGATTCCATGTGCAGATCTTGAACCACACAGTTCCTGGTGCTCTGTGATTTGGCCTTTCCTCTGACTGCAGGAGGGAGCCTGTGATTTTTCCTTGATGCGCTGGGGTCTGTTTTGGAAAGTAGGTCATCTTTGGCGGAGGTGGACACAGATGGGTGGTCTTTGTTTGAGGCAGAGCTTGCATGTATGCACTGGTGTGGTCTTCCTCTTCCATTGCAGATACTGTTTTTATTGCTTCCTTGCTTGGAAATGCCTTTCCACTTCAGTCATTTCGGATTTATAATTCCTCCTATCCCTTAAGGGCAAGGATGCATATTAAAAGGCAAAGAAGGTTGGGAACTTTTGAAACAGCACATTAAAAGCACATTTTTCCCATCTCAATAATGTGGTTGTTCAGCTTGGATTGGCTAGATTTTTTTGAGGGAAAATCCTATCCCATTTTGTCCAGTATTCTTGCATGTACCTCAGTGGTGCAACACCAGCTCACTCTGAAAATACCTTTTATCTTATTTGGGTATTGCCACTGATTGCAGCCATTTTCAACATAAAAATGAAACTCATTGAATCCATAGTGTTCATACATGAAGTCCTCAGCTCCAAGTGAACATGATCACATGTGCTCAAATTCTGCCTTTATTATTTCTGTGCCTTGCTTACCAAATTATAAAAATTGCTTTAAAACTGGGGACACTCACTTCCTTTGCTTCTTTCTTTCTTTGAGATCAGCTCTGGATGTTGAGAGCATTATATGAAAAACAATAATATACCATAAAATAGCTTCCAAATAATTGCAGATGCTTTTTTTCCCCAGAGGTTTAACTTCACTGAATAAATAGAAAAGTTTGTTAACAAAGTCAGGGAATCCAGGGGGGTTGGTTGTTGTTATATCAGTATTTTTTTCCATGGCAATTTTAAGATACAAAGTATCTTTTGGTACATTAATTCTCACAGCAACAACCTTGTGAAGCAAAAATTCACTGTTGTGAATTCCAAGGCTAAGAGATAGTAGCTTGCGTGTGACCACCCAGGCAGTTTTTCATGGCAGAGAAGTTATAATGAAGCTTGATGGTCTTTGCAACACAGCATGTGTGCCAAATGCAGAACTGGTACGGCCTTTATGATGGAGTTTTGCGGGATTGCAGTGGTCAATTTTTCATGAAGATGCTAAGCTGCTTTTGGCTTTGAATCATTAATATTTTACTAGAATCCCAGTGTCCCTAACATGTGCTTAAATGTACACAGGAGTTTGAGCATAAGCAATCCAGATTTTATGTTCTTGAATATACACTCTTGATGAAAACTCATGGCAATAGATCACGCCAGCATTCACATACTGATAGAACACATGGGTTACACATAGGAGGTATCTACAGTATATGGTGTCTCTAAAGGGGCTGGGAAAGATACACCATCCTCCTTGAAACTCTGCAGAGATACATCTAGACAGTGTCTACAGTACTGGCCTAGATGGACTATTCTTTGTGACTACCTTCGCATAACACTAAACCTTTAATTGTCAATAAAAAACTTTTGAGAATAATCATGTAAGGTAGGGGTTACAAAGTACTTCCTATGAGTTTATGCATATGCCCCTCCCAGATGGCATCTCAAAAACCCCCGTTAATTAAACTTAATGTTCAGTTTGAGGCCAGTAACATCATAGACACCATTGGTCCCCAGACCACAGGTTAGAAACGATTGCATTAACCCCATCACAATGTGAATATCTTTTCTAGCTGAAAGCTAAACTTTTGTTCTTCCTGTATGTATAACATCCTCCTGGATTCTGTTTTTCAGTCTTTGTGTGTGTGTGTGTGTGATGATAATTTTTATACACCATGTGTCAGTCTGCAGCAGCAATAAAACAGGAAAAGGACCAACTTTAAGCGATTCAAATGAAGTCGAAAAAATAGCAAGTGGGAAATAAAAGAAATGCAGATCTTAAGGACTAGCAGCTTAGACTGTACTGAAATGAAACTGTCTTCGCTGCTTGCAGAAAAATGGAAAAGACTGAGCCAACCGTAAAGTCTGTGGAAGTTTCAGATCTCCATTGTTTGTAGAATTGATGTTACATACTGAAGTCCTGAAGCATAAGATTCCAGTTGAGTACCACAACTTTTCTGGTGTGAAAAAGAATTGGTGTTCACCCATAATGTACTAATATGCTGCTGTTTCCAGTTCCTTTGAGAGAATCTGTTGCAATGGTGGAACGAAATCTTTGATATCTTTGTCCCCGGATTAAAACTGAATGCCTTTAAAAATGTTTGGCATACAAGTTTTACAAGTGAGAGCAGGTTGTTTTGCTACGAGCGTGGATCCTTAAGCTAAAAGTACAGGAATTCCTCATCTGTACTATGGGAACTGAATTCTTTTAATGCAAAACCTTGCTGAACCCATTTAAGACAGAAATCCTGAACAGACCCATTGACTTAGAAGTAAGTCCCCCTATGTTCGGTGTTCTTAGGGACCCGCTGCATTAGTTATTGTCACAGAGATACAGTGTTTTGTCTTCAAAGCCTCCCGCCCATCAGGAATTCTCTGTGAGATCTCTGTGGCCTGAAAATTCCAGCAAGGGAGGGAGTAAATTCCTGAGTTGGAGGCTGCTGGTGAGATTAGCTGAAAATGCCCTGCTGGTTTATCCTTTTGTACATTTTAGTATGCAGGAGGATAGGGCTGCACTTGATCCTATCAAGCTTTAGGATAAAACAAGAATAAATAAACTGCAATCTTTGTAGTGGCAGACATGGTTTCTGCCTGTTATGGCATGAAACACCCTGCAGTTTGGTGGAAGCAATATTGGGCTTGAGTACTATAGGTGTGCGCACTCACGTATATAATTTTGACAGTGCAGTGAAAATAACATGCTATGTAAATGGGGGGGGGAGCTAGTTAAAATATTGATGAGTTCCTTTTGTGGGCCAGTTTGTTCACCTGTTACCCTTTGTAAAGGAGTTTCCACATGTTTTCACACCTGGATGTTTCCCTGACAAATAGGCTACATCATTCACAGTTTAAATCTCCCAGAGGTGCATTGTGGAGAACTGAGAATACAAGTATGAAGATGTGCCATGTTGTCTCTTTCACGTAAGCCAAAGGTGGACAGATGTTTGTGGCTAAGGAAAGCACATTATTTTTTTGTTAGGGGTGGAGAGGAATGCCTACTTTAGGACTTCACAGAACAGATTTCCTCAGTTCAGAATGGCAGGAAATTTTGCCATTGCTTTTTGCCCTTTGGGTTTTGTTTTTCTTTTTCTTTTTTGCTTAAATATCACTTTAAAGTCCAGACTCAGCAAAGTTGAATTAGCATCGATTCATTCAGGAAAAGGTAAATGATCTGCCACATTGAATGGGGAAGGATTTTAAGGTACTTTAGGTTATTAAAAGTAATCTTGGAACTCAAATGTATATTTTATATCGCTGTTCTATTTGAAGTCCATTGCTTTTCATTACAATAAATAGAACAGATTTTGAAGAAAATCCTCCTTTTTCTTGAAACAGAAGCATGCTTAAGGCACATCATGGGATTGAATTGAAAGCTTCAGCGATAGGGTGACCCTGCTTTCAGGTTAGGAAGGGTAGGGTGGTAAGTGTCTTTCTTCAAAGGGTTTATCAGATGCTTTCTAGCATGTTGGAGGACTGGATTGCTTAACTGTGTTTAGTGCATCTTCTAGGATAGAAAATGCAGAAAAGCTCTAGAGAGGTTATATGTGCAGCAATCTCAGGTAAACAGAACTAAACTTGGGAAAATGACATAAAGAAAGTTGACATCTCTATCACCATCATTATTAATTAAATGTGGTCCAAATTTTATGATACAGCCAAATTTTGCATGAGACCTCATGAGATGTCGTTTTTTAAAATGTTATATTAAAAGTAACATGACTTTTCCTTATTTTTTTATTATTTTTGGAATCCACAACATCATGTAGGATTGTGCGATGGTGCCATCACCTGAAAATGTTGCTGATTTTTTATATATAGAGTGCAGCACTACATAGTACAGTCTTTGCTTGCCGACCATTCATTCAGCAACTGTTCGAAGTTAAGAAAGTGTTGAATAAGGAGATTTACAACTGGTCCTCAAATTTGCAAATGTTGCAGCATTCCTGCAGTCACGTGATTGCATTTTGGGTGCTTGGCAACTGGTCCACATTAACAATGGTTGCAGCGTCCCACGGTCACGTAATCGCCATTTGCAACCTTCACAGCGGCTCCTGACAAGCAAAGTCAATGGGAAGGCCGGCAGGAAATTACAAGTCGCAGTCATGTGATATTGCGCTTAACAACCCACGGTGATTCGCTTCACAACTGCAGACGGAATTGACAAATTGCCGTCGTAAGTCGGGTGCAATCATGTGATTTTTCACTTTATGACCGTGTCACTTAGCAACAGAGTTGCTGGTTCCAATTGCTGTTGGCAAGTGAGGACCACCTGCAAATGCAAAGTCCTATAACTTGCTAAGTTGCAAATAAAATAAGAGACGCAGTCATTATAATCTTATGTGAATGTACCTTTAACACACTTTTTCCCTATCACAGGACCTTTCACATGTCTCAAGACCAGAACTAGCAGAGTTACCAGGCTATGGGATAACTTTGTTGGAATCCTAGCCAGGATGGCCATTGGCATGCAGCACAATTTTTTACTCTACTTGCCTGATATTTTTCATGTTTCTGGGGCTTCTTCAGCACTCCAGGTTGCAATTATTTGTTTCTTGTCTTGTTTATAGTTGCATTCCTACAATGTGTTATGGGCTAATTTTCTTGGCATTTACAATACACTGATGCTCTCTTTCCATTGCTATATACACAGAGGCCACTCTGTCTATCTTATGATTTTGCTAAAATGAGTGAGCTTGGCTACAGCATGTTTAACAGGTGTACATAGGAGGTATGTAGCAAGCTGAGTCAGATGATTAGACTTTTACAGAAACATCTTTCTCTGCCCTCTTGGAAGATTTAAGAAAGTAAATATGGGACCTCCTGCATACAGAGGCATACATGGGGTTGGACAAAAAGCAAGAGGGTGGGCATGACTGCACAATTAGAGCTGTGCCCTTTCACGTGTACATACAAAAGGGAGCAGGAGCTTCAATCATATGGTCAGGCCCACCACCTTGTCTTTTTGTGCCCCCTCCGCAGGCAGATATATATTTCAGCCTCTTTAGGTAGACAGACCAGGACATGAAATTCACAGAAAGACTAGAGCTACCTTTATTGAGACGGGATACAATTCCCAACAAGGACCTCTTCCTTACTCTCTGCCATATAAAACATGAGCTCTGCTACTGAGTCAAGGTGTTCCTCTTGTTTGGTGGGAGGGATTTGCAATGGATAATTAATACATCAAAAAAGGTTGATTCCAGAGAACTTTCTGAGGAATGTGAGTCGTATAGTTTCTTTACCCTTTCCTGGAAAAGGCACATGGGTCTTTAAACCCCCCTAACAGTAGAACTGTGGTATCATACATCCACTTTAGGCTTCAGTACATTCCTTTAGAGTAAGGGGCTTGGGCTTGGGGGGGTTTCTGCTTATGAATCTCAGTTCAGGGACATACTGTGTAAAAACTTCAGTAAAGCAGTAGAACTCTATCTGGTGATCAAGGTGCTTGAAGAGCACATGTTGTTGGGAATCCCCCTTTGCCTTTTCAGTATCTGATATTACATTCCCTTTCTCTGCCTCTGTGTGTTGTGCTTAGTACACCTGGAATTCACTAGGACTACAATTACTGTTACTGTTGTAGTTTCCTCCTGACTGAGGCATTACAGGGGTCCCAACTTCCCACCTCCTTTGTTTCTTAGGGAAGAAAGGGTTCTTTCTGGGATGGCAGGATAAATTTTTTAGCTTTTTAAAAAATCAATTTTCAGAGCCCAAAGGATTCACTTTTAACATTTGAAAGGAATGTTGGAAACTTCCATACATCTGATTTATTTTCTCAGTGTTTTACTCCTTCAAATGCAGCCTGGGGCATCTTTGTAAAACAATGTGAATAGAATAGTAGAATAGAATAATAGCTTTATTGTCATTCCACTATACACTATACACCAAG